GCCCCCCGAGCCCAACAGGTGCCCCCGCGGGTCTTCCCATGGAGCATAGCAAACCCTTGCAGCGTCCAACGGGCCCCCTGTCCTCGTTGGGCGGCCCTGCGAAGAAAACGGCGAGCCCCTGCCGAATTCGCGCGGCCTGCCCACAGATGTCCATGAGATTATACTGCCCGGGCGAGACAGCAAGCCCACCCACCGAAACACGGAAGATTGGCGGCAATGCGACCCGTCTGGCACACATGCGCCACGATTGTATTTGGCACTGATAGCTCGCAGTATCTCGGGGTCCGCAGCAGGTGACACAGGGAGAAACGAAGACATGGCCCCATCAACATCTGCAACTTGTCCTGAGAGGGGGGCGCCAGACCGAAGGTGGGCATACGTGCCCTCGCAGTGGCCCTTCACAGATTCCGAGCACCACTCACGCCAGGCCCCCCGAGACAACAAATTGCCCACCGCCATTTCAGGAGACACCGGACACTTCCCCTGGCACTTCAGAAACAGCATCCGGCAGCTCCCTTCCAAGGCAAGACTGAAGAGAGCGCCGAAGCGCACCTCCACCGCGCCAGCGACGTCGGAAAAGGCGCCGCTCGCATAAAAAGATTCACTGCCGAAGGAGTCAAGTCCTGCGTGGAACCCTACCTCCAGATGGCGAAAAGGGGCCCGAAGCTCCATCACCCTGGCCGAGACCCAACGTGGAAGGAGCTCCCCCTGGCAAGGCCCCGATACTTGCGAGTGGCCAGAAGCCCCCGGACAGGGGCTCGCCAACAAGCATACACTCAAATCCATCTGGCTCGGAAACTCGATCCAAGAATTCCCCCGACTTGTCCTCCAGGGTCGAGTAATCTGGAGGCGGCCCCCCGGGCCCACTAGCTCGGTCTGGCGTCTCGCACCGACGCAGGCCAAGACAAGAGCGCGATCGCCCCCCATCTCGAACAGCGACTGACACAGGCCGGCGGGGGATATACGCCCCAGAAAGATCAGCTTCACACACTCCGGCAAGATGATCCACAGTAGCGCTGACGATGAGATAATCAACGGCGGTGGCCCCATCGCCAAACGCACAGGAAGGCGCGGCAGGAGCGCGAACCAACGATTTCAATACTTGCCAAGGCCCCCGGGCAGCTAAGACCCCAGGCTCGATGTCAAAGTCGCACCTAGCGATGAATTGTCAGCCACGGCTATGCGCGCAGATTGCACCCGAGAAATACCAAATCAATGGATGGTTTTCGCCGAGAAGATCGACCGGGAAACCGGGGGGCCGGGGGCCCAGAACCCACCGACATCGGCTCGGGGCCCGGGAACCTGGGCACCCGGAACCGGGATTCCGGGAACCCAGCCGGAAACCAAAATCGGCGGGAAACTTTCGCCGAATCTTTCAACTTCCGCGAGGAACCCTTCAGCGCAAGCACTGATTTAGGGACGTCATTGGTCACGCCTACATGGCCATGCGAGTCAGGTAAATGGAGCAAAGCAGGACAGGGCCAGGCCCTGAGCCCCTGAAGAAAGGCCGCGAAGTTCGCCCTTGATTAACGCCCCCATGGATCGCCAGGCGGATTAAGACATCCAGGTGTTTCATGGCAATCACCGCGGCCCCACCCGAGGGTCACCCAGCTTCGGTAAATATGCAATCGCGGCCAAGACTTCCCCGCCCTGAAGACTGAAGCCCGGCTTTGTTCCCATCGACAAACTTCCGTTCTACTTATGTTCCTGAAAAGGAGCAGGTAGAGGCATCAGTCTCTCGAACCAGCACACGAAACCCGAGACCACGTTTCTTCTGCCGAGGCCCCCCATAGGAATCAGCCTGGGCTGAACCTGCCCAGCTGGCCCCATTGGAAGTGACAACCTGCGCAGATGGAGACGTAGAAGCCCTCGACGTCCTCGCCGTCGTCTTCCTCGCTGTCGAGCCCCGTCAGAGGTGGGCCCCGCACTCTCAGACATAACAGGATGAGGTGGCGGCCCCCCACCCTGGGGCGGGGGCCTCGATGACGAACTGGAAGCCATCCCTGATGAATGAATTCCCAGTCAGCGCGGATGCCCACCAGACTCTTCCGGAAGATCACCACAGCAAATCACCCCAAACTGCAGCCCATCGGTTTCAGAGCTGGCGCGCGCAAGCACCCTCATCTGACGAAATACCCTGAGCAACGGCAGACTCGGGCTCTGCACGCAAAAAAAGCATAAACCTTGCAGAGAGATTACTACAAACGGCACTGTTGCTCCCCGCCTCATGCACGCCCCCACCGACCAGCCTCGTCTGGCTGTCGGTCGGGAGAAAGGTGGCGCGGAGCACGTGGAGCTGCCGCGCCTCCGCCTGTAGGCCGACCGCCCGCGCAATGGGATCGAAAACGTGGCTTATTGCGCTTATTGCTGGCATTCTTGAGAGCGTCGAAGAATTCCCGCTTGACGGCATCTGAAACTCCTCCAACTCCTTCGCAAGCTTCCAAGACACCAGCTTCATCCACGCGCATGGAAGAGGCTCCGCCACTGGCTTCAGCCCTCGGCTCTGCAAAAGGGGACCTCCTGGGCGACAGCAGCCTTGAGCCCGTCAGGGCAGACCTTGTAGCTCGCCTGGAGGTCCGCACGAGCTGACTCATTCTGGATACCAGTCCACGTATGTTTGAACTGGCTCGGGTGGTCGATGAACTTAGACATAGACGGAGCGTCAGCAGCAGGACCTTGGGACTGCACCAGCCCGTCAGCCTTCTTAGCTTCCTCGAAACGCTCCGACTCAGACGAGATCGCCTGCTCTAGTTCCTTCTGCTTCCCCTGGAGCTCCTCGATCTGCGAAACGACACTGATGTGTTATTCCTGATACTTCTTGAGACGCTGTTCACACTTGTACTGCTCCTGCTCAGCACGACGGAGGCGATGCCAGGCACGAGACGAGGCGTGCTTCTCTTCTTGAGCCACCTTCCAAGCCTGAGAGATGGCTGCGCGTGGGGCTTGCGAAAGAATCCCTTCGAGCTTCCCCCCGTTGACCAAGTGGGAGAGGCGATAGAGCCCATCTCGGACATTGAACACCGAGGGGGGGTCCTGAGCAGCAGAGGTGTCCCCCCCTGCCACCTTTACCGCCGCGGCCACCTTTGCCTCTCCCTTGTGGAAGCCTTTTCCCACTTCCCTTATTACCACGTCCAGCCCCTCCGGAGATCCCAAGAGAACTACGAACCCAAGGGTTATAAGTCCGCATAGGCGGCGGTGTAGGGATGTGGGGCTGAGATTGGGGTAGGTCACGCTGGCAATGATAACAGAACTTGAAGTGCAATGGGTTCTTTTTGCAACCAATGCGGGCACAGGGCCCCAAGACCAACGACATCTTGGGCCATCAGAGACCAACTGGCGGGTGCGGGGGCAGACAATGAAGTCAGCGGAAAGCTTGGGCGCTAGGTGGCCCCTGACCGAAGGATGCAGATTTTGTTTGGGTGAACTCCTTGAGCGAGGTTGAGCACTTCAGGAGCAAGCCCCGTGAACCAAAATGGCTACGGTTCCTCCTCCTCCTCCTACTCCTCCTCGTCTTACTTCTCCTCCTCATCCTCCTCCTCCTGGCGTCAGGATGGCCCAGCAAGAGAGAAGAGAAGCACCTCGGCGCGCTTCACGACAGCCGCCGGCAGGCACAGGCGAGGCGGTGGCCGTCAGCCTAACAGGGCGGTCAGACTCGCCACTGGGAAGGACAGGACAGAGCGAGCCCGACGCGTTCGGTGGCAACTCACGGGAACCTCACATACCATCTTGTCGGCTCTTGCGAAACGACGCAAATCGACGCTAGAAGTCGCAAAATCGACGCTAAATCGACGCAAACCGACTCTGAGTCGGCCCTATCAAGTCGTCTCCCAAACGCTAGTCGACGCTAACCGACGCTAAAGACGGAATTAAGAGGGCATGCGAGGCTCCCATGAATTGTTCCCGAAGACGCGCAGGAGGGCCAGCGCACAACTGACCAAGAGAAAGCACGATCCCGATCCCATCGATGATTGACCGAGGTTACAGTAAGAGCCCGACCACAAGAAACCTTCCACAAGAAACCCAACCCTGAGACCCCAGGACGTCCATCGATGTTTGGCGTGGGAACGTCGCGCTTTCCATGGCAGAACCATCGAAACCCATGAACCCCCACCCTGAAGGCAAGCAGCGTGTTTCTTGGCATGGGTCTCCACTGCACGGTAGGGTTCGTGCGGCGCCAGCGCACGCGAAGGTTTTCGACACCGCCTCGATCTTTCAACCTTGAACCGATCGCGGCTCAAATCGCTCAAAGGTTGAGTCCCGTCGGGTCGTGTGGCGCCGTCGTGGACTCCCGCCCTGCAGGCTCAATAATCCCTCTGCCGTTCGAAATGCTTGCGCAGACCTCCGAAACCAATAGCAACTAGACACAGTCAAAAGAAGCGGAAGCCAGTGGAGCAGATTCGGAAGCATCCGGGACACATCCGACGTCACACAACAAAAACTACAACCCGCTGGGAATATGAGGCCGCTTCCGACAGCGGATGACGATACCTCCAAGAGCCCCGCGGGCCCCCACCCGAAAACTCTGGGGTACCTCGGGGGATGTCCCCTGGACAGGGCGCAAGTGGGGACAGGGGCTCTCAATACCGCGTCCCCTGCAATTTCAGGTGGCGACATCAGGACCCTACCCCACCAAACATCGACTCTCCTGAATCGATGGGAGGCGGGGGGAGGGGTCAAATTTCGCCACATGTTCGACAACCCATCGAATTTCCAGAAACGTTGATCGGCGAGGGTACAACCCCCCCGATTAAAAAGTCTGGACCCCACAGGCCGCGGAAACACAGCATGGACGGGCCCCGTTAGGCCGCGGGGCCCCGGTACATTGTTCCAAAGACAGCCGTCGCGGATTTCCGGTCCATGCCTCATCCCCTTTAATATTACAATCGCCAAATTGGGCGATGAGTGGAAATTCGCATTCCGCCTAATACTTCCCAAAAAAGGTCTGGTCGCTTCCGAGACGACCGGAAATTCTCAGAGGCGGTCGGAAATTTTCAGAGGTGACCAAATTGCATCAACAACGCTCCGACGACAACGAAACGAATCCCCTCCTCCCCCAAACCCCCGTCCTTGATACTGGAACGCATTGCGATCGAGATCTCTGGTTCATTTTTTTCCGGCCGCTCATCTCCGGCACCGACTGCTCAATATTGAGGCGTGGGGGGTGCGGGGGAGGGGGTTTTCGAAGTGGTCCCCCAACTCTGAATGCAAAGGTTTTTTCCTTCAACGGTAAGGTTCGCATCTCGGCGCCGACGTATACACGAGCCAGGGACTCCGCCCGGCGCGCCTCCGGGGCATACAGCGGCGGGATCGCGCAGTTCTGGCGAAACTTCTCGTCGAAGTCTGCGGCGGCGCGCGCGGCCCGGCGCTGAGGGGAAGCGCAGGGAGGAGGAGGAGGAGGAGGAGGAGGAGGAGGAGGAGGAGGAGGAGGAGGAGGAAAGGGGGGGATAATGGGGGGCTTGAGGAGGAGGAGGAGGAGGAGGAGGAGGAGGAGGAGGAGGAGGAGGAGGAGGAGGAGGAGAGAGGAGGAGGGGAGGAGGAGGGAGGAGGAGGAGGAGGAGGAGGAGGAGGAAGAGGAGGAGGAGGAGGAGGAGGAGGAAACGTAGGAAGAAAGGGGAGAATGGGGGGGCCAAGAGGAGGAAGAGGAGGAGGAGGAGGAGGCAAAGGTAAAGGCCCCTCGGGGACATGACACCAGCGGCGGCGGCAGAGCCTATGGTAGCACCTTTCCTGCGGGTGATGCGCATGCTGCAAGGACTGGGGGTCGCACGTCCCTGGGCCTGCCTGGTGCGCCCCCCTGACCACCCGCGAAAGGAGGCCACGCCGCGGGAAGACAACTCCGCAGTTAGAAGCCGTGCGCCGGCCTTTCTGGCACGGCGCTTGGACAGAACCCGCACGTCACAAATGAAAAGATGCACGCGCCCTGCGCTCTAGCGGGCCTGCAATGCGTCTGAACGAAGAGCGCAAGAAGAGGGGGGGTGGGGGGGGAACAAAAAAAACATGATACTGTTATCCCCTGGACCTCTCCCGGGGTGCGCTCTGACAGAATTTCGAAGCGAATCCAGCCGCTGTGACGACCCCCCCCTCCTCCTCCTCCTCCTCCTCCTCCTCTTCCTCCTCCTCCTCCAACCGCGGTGACGCGGGACCTCCCAAGAGGCTCAACGACGCGAGAATGAGGCAAGGACATTGGTTAGGCACCTCTGTTTCGTCTGATAAAAGGACAGGACGAGCAGGGGCTGGACGTGGAGGACGAGGAAAGGGGGAGAGGGGTTGCAGGCGAACAAAATGGCACAACATCAGGAGGAGGAAGGGGGGCATGGGTACATGCGAGGAGGGAGCAAAGCAAGACTAGGGCTAAGTGTCTTTGTAGGGGGGGGGAACCCCCGTCGCTCTGTTCAGGCCCAACAGTACGATGAAGGTATGATTCATGTCTGCGCTGGAACTCAGATTCAAGTCTGCCCCTCCGCACCAATGCCGATTTAGTCCGACTGGAACTATGATTCAACGCTGGCCCTAAGGCCCACGTCTGATTTTTGGGAGCTCTACAGTAAGTATGGTTCTGGTTTGGTTCGGGCCCGCCGAAACCAATGTCGCGGCGTCGGCCCTGAACGCTGCCGGGTCGGTCCCGCGCGCGTGCGTCTTCAAGAACAACAAAATGAATGCGCAAGCCAAGCGGCAGGTCATGGCTGGGGGCCCAGCCGCCAGCTGCCAAATACTGCGAGCTGGGCCCGCTTGCGCACGCCGCCCTGCGGCAACGCTAAGGTTAAGGCCTGCGCGGGGGGCGCGGGGCAGCGCCCCCCGCCTGCGCGGACCTGGCCAAAACTGCTCAACGGCAGCCGGGGCGAGAAAAAACTCACCCGAAGCTCGCTGCTCAGGGCTGCGGGCTGCCGCGCCGCGAAAGGATGCGCATCGCGGTGACCGCCCCAATGCTCGCCGCCCGCCCGGCACAGGTCGGGGGCAGGCAGCGCAGAGGAGAAACGCTGCCATTTTCGGAAGGCTCGGGGGCGCGGGAGGCTCCCTGGGAGATGCCCAGAACGAAGGCGGGGACACGGGGCAAGGGTAGGAACGATCGCGAAAACGAAGGCGGAGGCGAGGGCTGGAACTGGGGCGGGAACGGGGGCGGGGGCGACGGGCGGGAACAAGAGCGAGAACAAGGGCGGGAGCGACGGCGGGAACGACGGCGGGAACGAGGGCGAGAACAAGGGCGGGAACGAAGGCGGGGACGAAGGCGGGAACGAAGGCGGGAGCGAGGGCGGGAACAAGGGCGAAAACAAGGGCGGGAGCGAGGGCGGGAAGACGGCGGGAGCGACGGCGAAACGAGGGCGATAACGAGCATAGGGCGGAAACGAGGGCGAGAACGAGGGCGAGAACGAGGGCGAGAACAAGGGCGGGAATGAGGGCGAGAACGAGGGCGGGAGCGAGGGCGGGAACAAGGGCGAGATCAAGGGCGGGAAGACGGCGGGAACGATGGCGGGAGCGACGGTGGGAGCGAAGGCGAAAACGAAAAAGAGAGCGAAGGCGAGAATGAGGGCGGGAACGAACGCGACAACGAGGGCGGGAACGAAGGCGAGAACGAAGGCGGGAACGAGGGCGAGAACGAGGGCGGGAACGAAGGCGGGAACGAGAGCAAGAACGAGGGCGAAAACGAGGGCGAGAACGAGGGCGGGAGCCAAGGGCGGGAACGACGGGGGGGAGCGAAGGCGGGAATGATGGCGGGGGGCCGCCTCTGGGCGCCTCCGGGATTCCTCCAGGCACCTCGGGAATTCCCCCGGCGCCTCAGGGGAACCTCCAGGGAACCTCCGGGGAACCTCCGGGGAACCTCCGGGGAACCTCCAGGGAACGTCCAGGAGCCCCTGTTTGAAGTCTTTTTGACGTCTGTCGGTCTGTTTGAGGTCTGTTTGGGCCAAACTCTGATTAAGGACTGTTTGAAGTCTGTTTAAGGTCCGTTTGAGGTCTGATTGAAGTCTGGCCGAAACTCCGTTTCAAATCTGTTTTCCCCAGGCGGCCCTTGGGTTCCCCAGGCGGCCTCAGGGCGGCCCCGGAACGAGGGCGAAAACGAAAGCGAGAATGAGGGCGGGAACGAAGGCGGAAACGAACGCGACAACGAGGGCGGGAACGAAGGCGGGAACGAAGGCGGGAACGAGGGCGAGAACGAATGCGGGAACGAGGGCGGGAACGAGGGCAACAACGAGTGCGGGATCGATGGCGAGAACGAGGGTGAGCACGAGGGCGAACGATGGCGGGAACGAGGGCGAGAACGAGGGCGGGAGCGACGGCGGGAACGATGGCGGGAGCGACGGCGGGAGCGAAGGCGAAAACGAGGGCGGGAACGAAGGTTGGAACGAAGGCGGGAACGTGGGCGGGAACGGGGGCGGAACCGAGGGTGAAGGCAAGGACAGGATCGAAGGCGAAGGCGAGAAAGAGGGCTGAAGTGAAAATGGCCTCGGGCGGGGGCGAGAGCGGGCGCGGGGGCGAGCGCGGAGATGAGGCCGGGCGCGGGACCTGGAGCGGGAGAAGCGAGGGCGAGAACGAGGGCGGGACGCTGAGGCCGAGGAGCGAAGACTGACGCTCGATACGGAAGAGGGGGAGGGGGAGTGGGAGGAGGACGAGGAGGATGAACAAAAGGACGAAGGGAGGAATGGGGGCCGAGGGCAGAGGAAAGACAGCACGTGGAGGGCGACGGCGACCGAGGGAGGAGGAAACGGGACTAGGGAGGCCAAGGGGGGAGGAAGAGGAGGAGCAAGGAAGGTAGAGGATAAGAGTGGGGATAAGGGGAGAAGGGAGGAGACAAACTGAGATGAAGGGGATGGGGGAGGGGGAAGAGGGACGCGAACAGGGGAGAGAAAGGGAGGGAGAGGGAAGCGGAGGAAGGAGGGAGGGGATAGACGATGTAGGTAAGAGGGCGAAGGGAGAAAAGAGGATGGGCAAGGAGAGAGAGGAAACGGTAGATGATAGGGGGGAAGAGGCCTCCTCCTCCTCTTACCCCCATCCTGCGGCGAAGCCCTCCTTCGATTGCAGAAAAACAAGCGCATTTGCGCAGCGCGCCCCGCGCCCTACGCCTGGGACTGCCAGAAATCCGATGGTACTCTGATTCAGCTGTTTTGGCTCTGGCCTAAAACTCTGATTCATCACTGATTTGGCTGAAACTCAGATTTGGATCTGGCCTGAAACTCTGATTCGTGTCTCTGGTCTAGCTGAAACTCTGATTTAGCTCTGGTCTGGAACTCTGATTTAACTCTGAAGTAGCTCTGGCTGGGGACAGAGCTGAATCAGAGTTAAACCAAAGTTAGATCAGAGCTTCGAAGAATTAGAGATGAAACAGAGTTCTGGGCCAGAGTTGAATCAGAGTTGAAGCGGAATATTAACTGTTGTTTTTGACATTAGCGTTTGAGACTAATTTGCCTCCAAGGTACACACTTTAGACTAGGGACGAGGAGGAGGAGGGCAAGGAAATAAATATGATTATAAGTTTGTCTGAAGCACCGTCCGTCTCGGAGGGACCGCTTACAACACAAATCCGTGATCGGGAAAACCATACCCAACGTCGGGGGCTGTCCCGAGAGAGGAGCGACAGCATCTCCTTCCCTGCACTGGCCGGAGGCCCACACTTTTTCTTCAGTGCGCGGGGGTGACCGGTTGCAACAGATCCCCCGCGAGCTTATGAGACAAGTCCGCCGACCTCCCCAGGAAGGCCCAAAATCGAATCGAGAAGCCGGATCGGCGATAGAAATGACTCGGATCGGCTGAAATCGGCAGCCGAGCCTGGAGAAGTCAAATCGGCGGCAATCGGCACGCCGGTATGCATCCAATGAGAAGTCGAAACCCAGATCGGAAACCGAAGTAGAATCGAATCGGAATGGGAAGCCATCCGACGCCGAATCGAATCGAATCGGAGAAATCGAAACGAGCCCTGCCAGCGACCCCAAGTGCACGTTTGACCTCCCCCCCTCTCCCAGGGCCCGCACGACCCTTGAACGCTCATCGAGGAGCAGAGGGCCCCAACCACGGCCAGGAGGGCCCCAAGAGGTCCCCAAGACGGTCCAAGTGGGGCCCCGGGTCGCCGAATGACCGCTCTAAGACGCCCAAGATGGCCGTACGCGGACGGCCGTGCCGACAAGGCTCTGGTCTGCGCCGTCGGTCCGTGCTTCGCGTCCTCGGGGACGTGCAGGGCGTTTGGCGGGCAGGCCCTTTTGCATGTCGTTGTTGGTATATATATATATATATTTCTCTCTCTCTCTCTCTCGCTCTCTCTATTTCTTTCTCTCTTTCTCTCTCTCTCTCTCTCTCGCGCTTTCTCTCTCTCTCTCTCTGAATTCAAATTGCTTTACACAAGTGTGCCCCCCCCC